TTTCATTTGATCCTAAAGAGTTATAAATATATTTTCATTTATTTATTTTAGTATCGTTGCAGGTTTCGTATGTACATACATATGTGTATCTTAAAATTTTAATCCAAATATAAAACATTTTATATTTTTAAAAGGTAGCAGCTAATTGATCAAGCCTTATTGATCACACAATCATTTATGTTTTCTAGTTATAAATGATATCATTATCATATTCTTTATTCTCTTTCATTTTGGGGGAGAGAAGAATATTTTTTATTAAAGATACAATTGTTTTTTGAGCTGAGAGTGGTGGCACCTGTAATCCCAGCACTTGGGAAGCTGTGGCAGGAGAATTGCTGTGAGTTTGAAGTTAGCTTGGGCTACATATTGAGTTCAAGCCAACCTGAACCACATAGTGAGACCCTGTCTCACATTCTCCTTTTCCCCCAACAGATACAGATTTTAGTAATTTTGTCCATGATTAGTTTCCTTAATTTTACATTTTATTTTTATATGTCAAAGTACAAATTCTTCTCTCTTTGTTGCCATAGTAATGCATTAAATGTATTGCATATATATGGTAGGTTTTGTAATGTAGGGTCTACCATCATTGATTTAGAATTCTTGAGAATTATTGATTAATTATGTTTTGAATTTATGTGTTATTTAATGGCAGAATTTAGGACTGTTCACTATGGCATATTCCTATCTTCAGTAAATTAAATTACTTAATATTTCTTTACAGGTCTCCTTCTGCTGGAAAATATACACTTTTTATAATATACATTTTACAGCAGTACAATTATTGTGAATAAAGTCATATATTTAATATATTTTTCTCTGTGATGAATTTGTGAGTAGGAAGATCTGTTCATTTGTGATACTGATCTTCTATCTCATTACTTCTGTGAATTCAATTTTTTTTTTTTTGGTACTGGGGATTGAACTCAGGACCTGACACTTGTGAGGCAGGCTGAGGAACCACTGAGCTAAATCCCCGGCCAGTGAATTCAATTTTTGAGTTTACAGTCCATTCTTTTATATTTTTCAGGGAAAATATTGATAAAAATTATAGTAACTTTTAAAATTTATTTTCAAAATAACACATTTCATTTTATTTCTATTTACATCTTTTCTACTGGCTACTACTGTTTCATATAATGCTGAATAGGACTTTTGATAGTGTATGTGGTATCTTGCCAGTGCCTTTAATGAACCTTCTTTTAATAATTACCTGTAAATATGTTTACTCTGAATTTCTGGAAGATATCCTCATTGGAAAACTTTTACTTCCTTCCTATTAGCAATTTTATAATGAATTTCTGTTGAAATTCCTAAAAATTTTCTTATATCTTAAGAACATCACATTCTCCCCACTGAAATATATCCACATACTCAGTGATTGATAGATTTATTTGAATAAGTTTTCAATCATAAGGTTAAGGGCCGACGATTTAGCTCAGTCATTCTTCCACCTGCCTCGCAAGCAGAAGGACCCGAGTTCGATCCTCCCCGTACCAAAAAAAAAAAAAAAAAAAAAAAAAAAAAAAAAAAAAAAAGTCACTCTCATTCATAAGGCTAAGAGGGTGGTATAAAGGACACAGAACAATTAAAACAGTTGTATGTGACTGGCAAATAAGGTAGTAATGATGTTTGCATCCATCTCCCCAAGTGATTAGATGGATAACTTCCCATCTTTTCATGTGATCAACAGTCTCAGAATTATATACATTTGGAGTTGCATATTTCTTTGTTGTAACGAGCTATCTTATCAATTTTAGAATGCTCAGCAGAATCTTTGGCCTCATCCACTAGATATCAGTAACACTCCTCCCTAGCTGCAACAACCAAAATGTCTCTGGGAACTGCCAAACGGTCCCGGAGGAGTTTTCCCTTGCTTCACTACTAGATAAATTTGTAATAGATGAAATGGTCTCATTTTTCTCTCAGTTTATTAGGAATCACAAACTAAAATATTTGGTCAGAATCCCTTTGTTGTAAACATTTTTCTTTATTATCATTTCTTTCTGCTGAATTTTATTTCCTAGGCTAGTTTGGCAAATTATGTTTTCCTATAAAATTATCTACTTCATAAATGTCAAACATATTGCTGTACTTATGCATATGATTCCATTATGTTACATTTTTCTACAGTTTTGTTGTCTTTTTTATTTTTTCATGCTTTTAAAATAATTTTGGATGAGTTTTGAAATAATTCAGTTTTAGGCTTTTAAATACTCAATATTGATATTATTATCACCTCATTAATTGGCATATTTTATGTTTATCAAGTTTTTTCTTTTGACCTTTAAAAATTTTTGGCTAAGGTCTTAAACTGAAAAGTTAAATGATTATTATTTCCATCTTTGTTTTCTAATAAAAATATAATCTTCAGGCACTTCAATTCTGACATGTGCTTTTTATTGTAATTCAGGATTACTTTTCTTAATTATGTATTTTTCGGCATAGAGAAGATGCTAGTAAAGGAAAATAGTTATTGCTTGGGACTCTGTCATTTTACATTTTTATATTAATAAAAATAATAGCCTATATTTATTTGTGGGCTGGTTTATTATTCCAAGTTAGTCTGAATATTTGTATGACATTATTTTGTATATAGTTAAATCTGAGGTGAACAAGGAAATCAATATTAAAAGTTTACAAAGAAAAGTCTTGGTAGTTGATTGGAAGTGCCTGCAATTAAAAAACCTAAAGGGGCATAGATCACTCTAAACAATCAAGTCATTCAATTTTCCGTGAAAATTATGAGCTATATACAGAACATATAGGGTGATGAGGCATAATAAGGAAAAGTAATTAATTTGCTTTTGAACATCTTTTTTTCTCCCCAATGAAAACCCACAGAGATATAACTTCAGGTTTGGAGCTTGAAAGCCAGAACAGGCATTCAAATATTCATTTGAAGTATTTCATTATATAGATGAAATACTGGGTTATGAAATGGGTCAGGTAATTTTTAAATGATTTGAGAATTGTAAAGGATAGATACCCAAAGAGTAACTCACAAGTTGGAAAACGTAAATTTATCCAGGGAAAATAAAAAAAAAACCCCAAATAATACCCATAAGTTCAAGAAATAAATGAATGGTAGGAAAAAAATAATAGAAATGTGTGCATAGGTAGGAAGAGAATATTTCTAATAGATAAAGAGAAAATTTCTACGAAGTGGCATCAGCAAAATACACAAGAATTCAATAAATTATCAGATCAATAAAATGGCAGTTTCATTTTGGTGTTGGTTTCCATAGAAAAAATAGCCCAGGTAACTTTGCACACATGGATCATCAATATTAAGGTCACTTTCCAGAGAAGCCTGAAGAGTTTTTATATGTGCACCATTTACATAGCATTATATTCTACTCCAAAGTTACCACAGTACATCTCTGTAAAAAGCCCAAGTCTGAAAAATATTTGTCAGGAACAATTTTCCTCCTGATCTAAAGACTCTTCATGTGTATTCTTTAACTTTATTGAATGAATTCCATTGGGTCAGGTACAAAAGTTCCACCTCTTCTGTTGTCTAGCTACACAATTTAGGCCAAATTATTTAATTAATTTAATCATCAGTTTCCCTATATGTATGTTAATGGTAAGAATTTTCTTTTCTTCCTTGAATAGTTATGATGATTGAGTCAGATTAAGGACATAAAGATGGTAGGGTGTACCATGAGGTATATATTCATGCAATTCTGGATATTATGAGGGTTCTATGATTTTTTTTTTTGGTTCTATGATTTTTTTATACCAGTCTGTGCTCCTATTTAAGAGAAAATATAGTGCTTCGTGCAGTGTGGTAAAAAATGAAAAAATTTGCTTCCTCCCACATATTCTCTTTTTCCTTCCTTCTCCTGCTCCTCATCTCTCTTTCTTTTACTTTGTCTGTTTCCGCCTCTATTTCCTATCTCTCTTTTCTCTTTTTTCTTATGTTGGTGTATTCTCTGAACAATAGACAGGTCTTTTTAAGAGAAACCTTGAGTAACTTTCAATTGATGAATCTTGGTTTCTGTATTTGAAAGGTGCCCATATCACCAAAACCTGCAGTTGGAGTACACATAAAATTATGTAATACATCAAAAATATAACACAGGGAGCTCAAAAATTAGTGGGATCAATATTAATATATATTAGGGTACTTCTTTGGACCATCTTATCATCAACCTATCATCAAACAGACATGTGTCTCACAGATATTTTTTATATACTTCTGGATATTTACCAGGTGGTTTGGCTTGCATTTTGATGTCCCCCCAAAGCCTTATGTAGTGGCTGAATCTAGAATGTGTGATGCTGGAAGTAAGGGCGTGTGACTGCTAAACTAGTAAACTGATTGGTTTGTCATCGCCCTAATCCCAGTAGTCTGGTTAAGATAAAAGGGATAAAAAGACTATATGAGGCTCCCTTGTTACATCTGCTGCCTTGTGAGTGCCATATTGTTTCTCCTTTGCAATGCCTGTTTGCCATCCTTGATCCAGCCAACTACAGACTGAAACTTCTACAAACTGTGAGCAAATAAACCCTTTCCCTTTTAACTTTGGGTGTCGCGTATTTTGTCCTGGCAACAAGAGAAAAGTAACTAATACAACAGGAAAGCCTAATAATATTTAATTTCAAAAATGATATTGTTTGTTCAATCCTTTCTTCCAGGATCAACAATTTACTTTCAAAAATGATGGATGCTGAATTTCTTACAATATTATCTAAGTATTTGTCTGTGGACTTTTCCAGATAGTGATGATTTTACCTTGATGTTTGCTGCCACTGAAGAGAAAGATACAGGCCTACCTTATTTGAGAAAATTTGATGTGGGACAATTCAAGTAATTCTATGTCTCAATAAAGAGAAAAAACCAAGAGAGTGCAAGAGAAGCTTGTAGCTCGAAGAAACTCAGAAATATTAAAGATGTTCAAGAATTAAATGTAGGAGTTGTGCAACTCTTACAGTGCCAAAAAATTTTCTAAGAAGTAAACTATATATATTTTTATCTGATACCTTCAATTATCCAAATATCCCTTTCTTCTCAGCACTCCATGATGTTGGTCCTCAATAATACCAGTGCTCAGTCTCTGGCCTTCTTTCTGACTGGTATCCCAGGCCTGAGATCAGCCCAGGTTTGGATCTCCATTCCTTTCTGTCTCCTGTATGCCATTGCCCTCTCTGGAAACAGCATGATCTTATTGGTGGTCCTCCGTGAGAACAGCCTTCACGAGCCTATGTATTACTTCCTCGCCATGCTTTCTGTTACAGACCTGAGCTTGTCTCTGTGCACGCTTTCCACAACCCTTGGTGTCTTCTGGTTTGGAGCCCGGAAGATCAATTTAAATGCCTGCATTGCTCAGATGTTCTTTCTCCATGGCTTTACTTTCATGGAGTCTGGGGTTCTGCTGGCCATGGCCTTTGATCGATTTGTGGCCATCTGTAACCCACTGAGATATACCACAATTCTCACCAATGCCAGGATTGCCCAGATTGGGGTGATTGTGTTGATAAGGAATGTCTCTGTCATGTTTCCAGTTGTGCTATTTGTCAAGCGGTTGTCCTTCTGCAAGTCTCTGGTCCTTTCACATTCTTATTGCTACCATGTTGATGTCATTCAGCTCTCTTGCACAGACAATAGACTCAACAGCATCTTTGGTCTGTTTGCACTCTTCTCCACTACAGGATTTGACTGCCCTTGTATCTTGGTCTCCTATATCCTGATCATCAGATCAGTCCTCAACATTGCCTCCTCAGAGGAGCGACAGAAAGCCTTCAATACCTGCATATCCCACATCAGTGCTGTTGCCATCTTCTACATTCCTCTCATCAGTTTGTCTCTTGTTCACCGCTATGGCCGTTCAGCACCTCCATTTGTTCATATTATAATGGCCAATGTGTTCCTGCTCATCCCTCCTGTTCTCAATCCCATCATCTACAGTGTGAAGACTAAGCAGATTCAAAAGGCTATTGTCAAGGTCTTAATTCAGAAGAAATGTCAAATTTAATCAACAGTTATCTCAGAGTAGAAAAAGTCATTTTTTATTTATATCTTTATCGGTACATTTTAGGTATACAACACATTTACATTTACCATTGGGTGTTTGTACCTGAACATGCTGTATCTTATTTCTTATTTTTTCCCCCATTACCTGTGAGTCCTTCACCCCCTCCGCCCTTCCCTGTTTCCATAGACTTTGTTTCCATTTTTTTCTTTCTCATAATTTTTCCTTTCCCTTCTTCCCTTTCCCCTTCCCATCCCACCACTCCTACACCTTTGGACCTTTTCCTGTTTCAAATTATCCATTAGAAAAAGTCATTTTTGAACATGTGCTTTTTTAGAATGAAGTAATCATACCCAAAGGACCAAACCTGCTTTCAAGAGTCCAGACTATGCAGAATTTATACTTTGTAAGTTATTTACTTAGTCAGATTCTTTGTGAGTAAATTCACATGGACCCCATCTCAGTTAAGATTTTATTTTCAATATGAAATAGGATAGTGCAGGTGAACAACTATTACTCATATTGGAAAACAGTGTGAGGGCATAGGAAATATTAATTCAGACTCTGCATACAATTTGAAAAAATTTAATTGATAAGACAGTTGTTCTCTCCTTTATGACACATCAAAGACTTTAACGCTTAGATATTTTCTACTAAAACTTCATTCTCTGCCTGCATCTAAAATTGTCATGTGATTGAGTGAATTCTAAAATGCATATCAGTGTAATTGGACTTTGGGTCCTGTGTAGCTGCATCTATCTTGACTTGTATTATGTACAAGGATGTATCCAATATAAGCAAAATACCATACCAAATGCTCAAAATTAGGTGCCACTTCTGTCACTAGAAGAGATAAAGGTGATAGTAATGTTTTTTAACCTTCCAGGTTATATGTAACTCTATTTTGCCAGTATTTATCAATATTAAGTCTGGTAAAAAGGAACTCTTCTCTTTGGTTCATGTATATATCTATTTCTGCCATTATGACTCCATTTATAGGACCAGTATATAATGCTTTAATAATTTATCTTTTCAAGTTTTCAATGCAAATAACCAAAGCCATACCTTATTGTCTCAGACCCAATATTTTTAGGTACAACTGGAAGACAATATTCAAGATTTCCAGTGACCATATCACCTAGCACCCTGCCTTTTATCCAATAAATCACAAGTGAGAATCTTCCTAATCATGATGGTATTACATTTCACAGAAGATATTTGGCACTCTGAGAATGTGCAATAGGGTCTATGTTAATCATAATGTGATTTAAGAGCACATGAGAAATGGATGACATCAATGAAGGTTGGAGAAGATGTTACAAAACACTCTATTGAGTTTGATGTTATGTTAGTCAAATTCCAACCAGAAGACAGAAACCATAAAATAATTTCAACAGGAAAAGATTAATATAAATAATTATTAAGAGAGAAGCAAAATACTGGAAGAAATTGGTTAGTAAGATCTAGTTTAGGTTATATGGTAACTGGAACCCTTGAATGTGTAGTCTTCCAATTGTACCAGTATAAATAATGTAATAGCTTATTCATTCTAATCATTGGTACATTTTAGGTATACAATATAATGACATTCATCATTGGAAATTTGCACCTTTACATAGTCTCTCTTGGTTCTTATTTTTCACCCTTGCCCAGCCCTCCCTTCAACCCCTCCAGTCCTCCCTATTTACAAAGATTTTGTTTCCATTTTTTCATTCTCTCATATTAATTCCATTCCCTTCTTTCCTTTACCCTACCCCTACCACTTCCCCTTTGCCCCTTTTCTTCCTAGTTCACATTATCTGTTATACTTTTTGATCAATTCCATTTATATTTCAGAGAACCATCTCTTTGTTTTGTTGATCTTCTGTGTGTTTTATTCTATACATTACAACTTGAATGAAGTTGGAGATATCCCACTAAGTGAAAGAAGTCAGACACAAAAGGACAAATATTGTATGTTCTTACTTAGGTAAAATATCTAGATAAGCATATTTATACAAATGTTAAATGGATTAGTAGATATCAGGGGTTAAAAAGGGAAAATAGAGAGTTAATCAGAGTTACAAATTTCTCCTTGAAGCAATGAAAAATTTTAGATATATGTAGTGATGATATTTGAATAACATTATGAAAATCAATACCATGGACTTGTGCACAATTGTTAAATGGTAACTTTTAAATATATTTTACACATTTTAATAACTCATAAGCTAACATTCCTTAAACCATTGAATTATATATTTTAAGTGGATGACTTGTATAATATATGAATTATTTCTTAATAAAGCTGTTTAGAAACAGAAACAAAAACCGAATAACGGGTATGGTTGATAGAAGGCAAAGAGTAAAAATGTTTGGGACAGGTTCCTGTTAAGAAATATCTGTGAAGATTTGTGGAGGTCTTTGAATCAACATATCAGAACTTTCATATTATTTTAAAAATTAGTTTTATTGGTATACTTTGTACCTGTACATAATATGGAATTTGTACTTGTACATAATACGTCTTAATTCTTCTTTTTTCCCCCACTCCCTTCCCCTCCCTTCAATCCTACTTCTCCTTATTTACACAAGCTGAGGTTTCATATCAGATAGTATGTTTCTTTTCAGATTTTCAAGTCTTTCAACATATGGCTAACTATCACCCAAGGAATACTGATATAAATATTACACAGTATGTTGAAACATCACTTATTTTCTCAGTAACATATATATATTTTTTATGCATCAGTTAAAAATAAATTTAATTTTAAAAGTAGCCTATTCACACACAGATGGATACTCGCATTAAGTTGTCAATGTACAGACATGCGTACACACAAACATCACAATATACATACGCAATCTTATCCACATTGCTACCACGCAATATATACACCCATATACACATATAAAAACAGATTTACATTCACCAAAAGAAATATTTTTGAGGTATGTATACATCAGAACTCATGGACATTCAAATAAAAATGTATATGACTATATGCATACACATTCAAGGATATGGAAATAACAAATGCTCAGTACTTAATGTAGAAACACTTGTGAATATGCAGTGATACATATTCATGTACTCCCATGAAAAGTCATATGGAAACAAAAGCCCATTTGTGTGCATATGTGAAGTTATCACTTATATAATTATGTCTACAAATTCCAAATTGTAATGCTCATTATAAAGCACTAGCCATCATACACAATCATAGTCTGGTAAATATAACCAATCCTCTTTTATCAACATGCTTATGTAGACAATTAGCGACTCCTGTATCTTCAAATAAGCATATATTCACCAGAGGTTCAAACATCTTTTCTCTATGCAACACACAAACATATATACATATATGTATATGTTTATATGTATATGTGTATGTGTATATATATACACACACACACACACACATAGATAAGAAATGTGTGAGATAAGAAAGCAATGCAAAACATCTTAAATATATCTTTTCTGATTACATGGTTACATCCCTAAAACTATTTGGTTATTCTTATTTGTCTTCAAACATATGGAAATTGCTACAAAGACAATTAGATATTTCTTCACCTGAAATCTTGCTTTCTATAAATTTGATCAAAATTAAAGGTGGGGAATGTTTTTAAAAGACATTCACAAAAAGTTTATTCATTGTCAGATTACTTTCCTGTTATGTGAAAGAAAAATGACTGAGACTACCCTAGGAGTGGGACATAGCGTATTTAATTATAATAGAGATTTGATTCTAGTGTAATGGAGAGACCTGAGCAGACATCTGGGGATGACAGATATGAAAACAATTCAAAACAATTCTCAATAGTTCTTAGAACTATTTCTGACTATTATACTCTTCATCAAAATTCATGGGTATTTAACAGAAGAGCATTGAAGAGTGTGGGTCAGAAAGGGTCTTTGGTTGCACATTAATGCTGTCACATTAGAATGGGTTCAAGTATGAGTAATGTGACAGAATTTATAGCATAAATTCTAGGAAGTGAGCAATATCTACAGATTGTGCAGGAAGCAGAGCCTAAGATTGTATATTTATCTCCAAGGCAAGGTTTTCCATTTATATCCTAAGAGACTATTTGTCTCCAAATTAACCCTAATTGTACTAAGACAGATATCTCTGGTACTGAGCAGTTAGATACAGGTGGTATATGTCAAAGATAAATTATCTAAGAAAGTAAGAGAACAAACCAGGTACATTGCAAAGTATGCATATGCTAAAATATTTATATACGCTAGGAACTTAAAGAACAACAAAAGAAAAAAAGTTGCATAGTGACTGAGTTTGAGAATTAAAGCAATCAGAGTATTTTTCATGTTGTTTCTTTAATGGAGATGGCAATGTAATTCTATTTTGCTCTGAGGGACCTGAGGTAGAATACCCCAACAGATGGCAGATTATCACTGGGGCAAGGAAGGCAGAAAATGAATCCACATATAGAGATGAAAGTTACCACTGTGTGATCTTCAATGTTCCCCAATCCTACCATTCAGAATTTTTGGCTGTCATTGTGGTTAGAACTCTACAATGGAATTTTTACATGTCCCTCAGCAATACATTTGATAATCAAAATATACTTCAAATGATTTTCTAGTTCTAAAGTATCCAGTTTTAGAGTCTTTTATATCTAGATGTTCAAAACTTTTACCCAATTCCAAATATTGTTTGCTGCTTTGCACCAGCTGGTGTATCTATCTCCTCCCTATTTTCCATTTCAGGAAACCAATTTAACATTAATGGAACCAGCCATTTCCAAAATGTATTACACATGTATTTTGTTTCAACAGTTCCCAAAGTTTCCACTCCCCTCAGCAGTGGCAAGAAAGAATAGGGAAGGGGTCACCAATTCCAGTGTAATAACTCAAAAGGAAATGTGTTTTACAAAGCTGTTTAAAATGTCATTAAATTAATGATTTAAAGTACCATTAATTCTAAAGTCTAAATGTACTGTAAACAGTACATCATCTTCATAAAGAAATCTTTTTTGGGCCAGGGATTTAGCTCAGT